ATCCAGTTAGAAACCGTTCTTTGTTAGAATCCAGTTAAATCATTCACTTTAGATAAACTCCAGCTAAACTTTCAAAATTTAACTGAAAACATTTACAGAATTCTCTCTTATACAAATTGCTCTCTTATACATAAACTCTCTTATACAAATTGCTTTTTAAATTTGCTTTAAATTTTAAATTAAAATTGCTCTAAAAACCTTGGATTTTACCTTGTAAAAAGAATAAAGCCAAAATCTACTGGTTTTCGATTGGATTTTTTTTGCTAAGCTAATTAAAAATTGGATTTTTAATTAATTTCAATTGTTTTTTGACAACAGTAATAAAGTATAGAAAAAGACAGGTGTTATTTTAAAGCAAAATGTCTGGAATGACTTTCTAAGCTTTCTAAGTAGAAAAAGGAAGAGATTATTGCATTCGTTGTCCCACTTCGTACCTCTGAAAGGGAATCTTGCTTTATCACAGGAAAAATCGGGAATTTATCAATTCAGGAAAAGCTTTATTACCCCGAGATGTAGCGGAATTGGACGATCATCGACCGAATCGAGGCGGAGACCTGGACGAATTTGGCGAATCGGGTCAATCTTTAACGAGTTTGGAGACAATAACAGATTTTCAAAAAGCACCCAAGTCACGTCGTTTCGTTCCTGTTTGTTTTCATAGCAAGCATAAGAAATCTTCTAACCCTTGTGAGCTGATTTAAATTAAACCAGACGCAGACCAGAATATCAGAAGCGATCTTAATAAATTCTTGATTCTTATATACTAGTAAATCTCGTCACAAAGGCTCTCCTGGAAAAAACTGTAAGCAGCTAGCTGGTAGTGGTAGACATAAAGATAGATAAGGGTATATGATTTGTTTGTTAAATCATATTTCTTCTCACCTGATCGTGTTGATGTATCATTGCTAGACCGAGATGTTGTGGTTCCATTCTTGTGTTCGCTCGTTAATTTCTCTTCTCTTTGCCTTCCTTTTCTTTTCAAAAATACACTGATAAGAAACGAATCAAAGAAATCTTTAAAATTTTAAGTAAAAAAGGATCGATTGCAGAATCGTTTGGAAAATATTAGTGAAAGGAGTGCTTGGAATGACGTGAAAATTGAAGATTGACGTGACTTTTTTCGAAAAAATGAGAGGACACCGAGAAACAGGATACAAACAGACAGATACCACATAGGATATGAAGCTCTCGTGTTGCCCATCGCTGAAGGAAAGCAGGTGACGCGGAGCCAAGAAAAGCAGAAGGGGAAGGACGGAAGGGGACAGGAAAAGGAGGAATGGCAATTCGATCTACATATGCATCCGATGATATTCAGAATATTTAAATTGGCTAGTCCAACATTAAGATATTTGAGGCGAATTTTTCAGTTGTCAGAATTTCTATTTTTATTAAGATATTTTTATTAAGATATTAAGATATTTGAGCTCAAAGTTGGAGTTATCACAGAAATTATCAAATTTTAATACTTCTTAATCGCAATCGTCCCTTATCTTGGTTCAGCTTGTCCGTGATGTTCCTCATCTAAACTTTCAATACAAAAATGCAAGATACTCCAACTTATATTGTAGAAATGATGTAGCTCATCCAACGTGATACATTTGCTTTCCAATAGATCAGCAATAACTTCGTCGACGGTCGTCGTCAAGTAGTGACAAACTGACTCCTCCGAGAGCTCGCCGATGCCGTAGAAACTGAAAGAGAAATGTTAAGATAGAAGATCTAGCTTATGACAAAATAAAGCCATTTTATATGCAACTTTCGGACATGATTTTGACCTACAAAGAGAACTTTTTAGCCGTACTTTGGATTCGCAAAGAGTCTTCGGTAGAGATATGTGCCTGCGATGTACTCCATTACACTCTGCTTTGTGGTGATCGTCCCGGGGTGCCAAAAAACACCATTGAACAAATATTTTATTAGTAAGTTTGAACGAGATTGGGACGGAGTACTTCAAGTGTTTGTAGCAAATGGAAAATTTCAAAAGCTGAGGCTAAAATTTCAATGTTGAGGGCTTCGAATTCAAAAATTTGGAGCTGGTTTCATTTCTGTTTGTCTGTTTAATTGTTAATTTTTATTGGAGCAAACCACTCAGAAAGCTTACCATGATACGTTTATAATGACTTTGATAATATAAATTGCTTGACAAAGATATCTGGCCACAGCACACCAACAAAGATATAGGAGCCCTACATGAAAAGATTTAACGCCTAACAAGCAGCTGACATAGCTAACAAGCAGCTGTCACACCTAAGGTTGACACGCCTAACAAGCAGCTGACATTTAAGTCTCGTCGTCTTTCGAGATTTCGAAAATAAAATTTTTTTTTCTAGCTTACTTAAGCTAGCAAGAATGACAAAATAGTCAAAATAGACTCAATTCTTGTTTCAAAGTCAAAGTTGTTTACAAAGAAGTTGTGTTCTTCAAGTATATTTTGTGCTCGAAACACACGCTTTCTAGTCCATTTCTGAAGTTCTTTTATATATGTTTCGTATTCGGACAAGGAATGATTAACATTTGCATTTGTTCAGCGAGAAAGTGATGAATCAATAAAAAGAAAGAAAGCGACAATTCCAAAAATCTTTTTGTGCAGAGAGAAAGAAAATTCGACAACAATTCTATGAATTCTAGTAAGAGAGCCGATTTGGAGTAATTCGAGGTGAAAAAGGAGACCATTCCAAACGTTAGTCGAATTCTGTAAATGTTTTCAGTTAAATTTTGATAGTTTAGCTGGAGTTTATCTAAAGTGAATGATTTAACTGGATTCTAACAAAGAACGGTTTCTAACTGGATTCTAACACCAGGAAAGGCTTTTAACTGGATTTTCCCTGTAAACCAGACAAAGCTAGAGCCAGGCCTTGGATCTTCTTTGAGCTGCTTGTCTCTTCCTGGTGCAGCCGAGTCTTAGCTTAACCTAACTTAAACCCTAGGGTTTTAATAATTTTGTTGGGCTTTTTATAGATTTGTTGATAATCTGTCAATCATTGATCATTATTGTCGTTGTTGTTTTACCTTCAAACTCAGCCGTATATGGCTCAGACTTCATTTTCACGAATTCAGAGGGTGTTCACTGAATCTCAAAAAGTCCAGCTGCAATTGACGCAATGATCCTTGATTCTGAAAATTGAGATTTTTATGTTTGTTTTGAAAGTTTAAAAGCTTGAAAGCTCGATGAAATCTCTTTACTTTAAAGCTAAATATTTGAATCATAAAAATACAAATTTAAATGGATAAATCTTCCCTTTAAAGGCTTTTAACTGGATTCCAACACCAGGAAAGGCTTTTAACTGGACTACCATTACAGACATTCGTTTAAAGTTCTAGCATTAAACTAAAACGAACCAAAGAATGAAACATGCACATGTTCGGTTCCTCATCTTCACCATTTGGACAATCTCGATTTCCATTACACAAATCAACCGCTCTGATACAAGGCCAATCGATTGGATATTTTCCTTCGATTAAAGTTAGAGAAATAAAGAAGACAAATTAATATGCAACTTATCTAATATAATAGATTTTATTAATGCGTTTTCGCACTTTATTTCTTTCTGAATAAAGGATTTATATAAATATTTATCTATAAATGATTCAAGCCAAATACATATTGGACACTCGGCTGGGGCATGCTCTGGCAGCTTTTAGAAAAGAGATAACTCAAGACAATTTTTGTACCCATCGATCTGTATTGATTCAGCTTTAGCATAAGTATAAAACGTCAAAACTTGGCAAATTTAAGGTACACTCCCAAAATTTCGGAAAGAACTTTTCCATCAACCCAATATCAATTAATCTAATACTTGCTGCATTAGAAAGGCCTATTATTTTTAGAACAGAATAAAGAAATCTAAGGAAAATTTATTTTTTAGTATTATTAGTTTAGTTTAGCATTAGTTTAGTATTATAAAGTTTATATTCTATAGTTTTTTATGTAGGCATGAAGTCGGATAGTCAAAAAAAGGCGACAGCGCGAAGACTTATATTCTCAATTTAAGCGAGAATATAAGTCCACTTCGAGCTAGAGATCTATGACCACTCATTTCAGAATCGGCCTGGCCTTCACAATTCATCGCACAGGATCGGGGCAAACAATCGATCGAATCCCATTCATCGGACACCCCGACGACAGCAACCGCTCCAGCCACCGCCACCCATTCATCTGCCAATGCACAGCCCGCAACATGTTCGTTTTTGAAAACATTAATCTCTAATAATATTGAACTCTCGCCTTTCATGGTGATCTTTTTCTTCAATGTTTCTCGGTTCAAATTCTCTCGCCCTTGGTATCTTTTATACGTTTTATAGCAATAAAGATCTTCTATTTGAAGCAAACTATTAATCAATTCATAAGCTTAAAAAACAGATTTATGACAAAGTGTCCAAAGAATTTTCGGCCAACTTTTTAGACTAACAAAAAGTCCCCAATTAATAGCAAACATTAGAACCGGACTGTTGCTAGGCAGCCAGGTAAATCGCGGACTTCATCCTTGCCTTGAGATTAAAAGCTGCAAAAAATAAATCTCTCTATTTTTGGATTCTCATTACATTCGACGTTGCATGATTTCTACAAAGAATATAAAACGTAAGGCTAAAAAACAAAAATAAGGTGCAACATCTTGTAGCGAAAATTTACCTAAATGATTCTTTTCCGATTTAGATGTTTGACTCTCAAAGTCTAAAAAAGAAATCCAATGAAAGACAGCAAATGTTGCCTTGCCTTCTCTTGTCTTCTCTTTTTCTTTTCCTTAGAAACTAAGATATAGAAACTAAGTGAAAAAAGTTATGCAACGGTCTCAGGACTTTAAACACCTAGCAACGAAATAACCTAGTGCTACAATAACGAAAAAGATTAAAAAATCCAAAAAGCTAAGTTATTACTCCAAACAAATTTTATTATTGGTTGCTTCTTTCTTCAGATTTTGAAATTTCCGTGTCTTTTCAGCCACTTTATTTATGATCATTATTTTCCTTGTTTTCTTACGATTTGCTTTAATTTTAGTTCCATGTCAAGCGTCAAAGAGGAGTCAAAGCCGGTTGTCAGCAAAGCCGGCAAGAAGAGAGTACATCGGCGACAACGAGCGAAAGAACAAAGAACGGCGGACAGCGATAGAAGCAACGATGAAGATGAGGTATTCGCTTACGCTTTTCCATCTCCGGTTCCTAATTTTGGTAAATTTATCACAGTTGATTATGTGCCGGCAACTGATTATTTGTTTTCTTTTAGTCTGCGCGAGAGACTGCTGCCGGAAAGAAGCGACGTCAAAATCCAATGTTACAAACGGTTAGTCTACGTTTTAAAAATTTATCTTTTAAATTTTGCATTCAAAACTTGGGAACTAAGGCGGTTGGGGACGGGCAGCCAAAAATGTTTCAATGTGCGTTTTCTAGGGTGATTGATAACATCGACTACCAGAAAACATTTTTAAGTTAGCCTTTTTATTGTTAGCCCAGGATTTGGCTCCGCACCGCCACCGTGTCAAAGTTGCGTATGGGCCTGACTGCAGCACCCAGAGCCACAGCCGCTAAAGGCGGTGAGACCAACATCGATAGGCTCCACAATCACAAAACCCGATTACCTTTAGGCTTCTAACATTTGATGACAGAACCATCATAAAATTCAGTCTAAACTGAAAGCATAACTTTAAAGTTGCCTTAGTAAAAAGAATTGTTTGACAAAACGGGAAAAGAGCAAGACGACCAGAAAGATTACTAACGACGCCAAGTCGCAATTCAAGCGTGTACAGAAGCAATTGGATGGAGTATTGATGAAGGTGCTTAGCACGATTTTTTTATATGGGGAAGCAGGATCCTAGAACGCATCCTTAGAAATTTCATATTAAATAAATTTTAGGTAGACTATATAGCTGATATGCAGAAAAAGGGTGGCAAGGTAAAATTTTTTTATGATACTAATTCAAGCAATGAGTTTTAGAATATTTACCTTGTCAAATGGTCAGGTTGTTCATCTGAAGCGTCCACATGGGTTTCTGGAAGACAGTTTAAAGCACCAGAAAAGGTACAGTAAGGAAAATAATTTTTACTTATTTTTAGTCTTAAAGTATAACACATTGGGCGAGGTCGTGCTCGTGCACTTAAGCGGGTCCGGGACGGGGTAAGTGGGACGAGCCCTCCATGGGGCTTAGCCTGAGCCATCCTTCGCGAACTTGCAGTACAGTACTGGAAAGGAATCGAATTATTCATTACTTAGCAGTTTTTCACCACCTTTAATACAAGTACACAAATAATTTTATCTATTAGATTTCAAAGAAAATTCGATGGTTATAGCTATTTTTGAGTGGTCACCAATTTCCAACAAAAATTTAGCTTAAATTTGCTCGATTGAGGAATGTCGCCCGCCGAGTGATAAAGAAGCTCCTCAATAAGCAAAAAGAGTCAGTTTAAAGTTCAATGTTGAAATTAGTTTATGCTTTAGCTTCCCCCGGTTTTTCCTCCAGCTAAAAGATGCAAAATGGCGATGGCTACTGCTTAAAAGGGAATTCAACTGGAACACAATTATTGATGGAAAGGCAGCCAAAATTTTCATCGAAAACTGGTCAGGCGATTGGAAAGCGATGCCTCGCTTTAAGGTGAAGATTTTCTTTTTTGAGCTTGAACCTTGGATGGCTTTGATAATTTTTTGTTTAGTATATCACCAAAAATCGCCACTCTGAGGATGCTGTGAAAACTTTAAAGAATATTCGTCCGAACGATCTTGGCTGCAACAAAGCTTGCGAATGCAAGGGTGCAATTAATTGCTGTGCCTCGGTATCATGAAAACTATTTTTCTTACTTTTCCTTTAGCATCATGTTGCACAAAGTTACAAAAGTGGAACAAAACCAAAGGCCATCCGGAAACTCAACTCGGCAAACTCTAGTTGTGACGTAGTAGTTGAGTGTGGAGAGCATTGCAAATGTGATCCCATAATGTGTCGTCAACGAGTGCTGCAGGTTGTTGCTTATGTAAATTAGCAATCAAAAAAATTCAGGAAGGGAGACAGATACCGTTGGTGCTATTTTGGGAAGGAAGGAAAGGCTGGGGTCTTCGCACAATTTTCAAAATTCCAAAGAATGTTTTTGTCGGTGAATACGTCGGAGAGGTTTGAAAAGCGCGCACAGTTTAAATTTATCAAGTTCCTTCAGGTGATCACTTTTGCGGAAGCCAAACGCCGAAACAAACACACAAAATACCAATTCAGTCTTGCGACGGCAATCACAAAGCTCGACAACAAATTCCTGGTGATCGACGCCACAAGCCTCGGAAATGAAACCAGATTCATAAATCATTCGTGCAATCCAAATTTGGTAGCGAAACTTGTGATCACGAATAAATATTCCGAACACGATTTTCGGATCGGTCTCTACTCCATGCGTGATATTGAGCCGGGTAAGCGAATAATTTTTTACTTGATAGAGATGATTTTTAGGCGAGGAACTCACCCTTAACTACTATCCTACAACCGTTAAGCCAAAGAACTCAAAGAAAGGAAGGACCAAATGTTGGTGAGTGATGATTCCATTTTCTGGTTTACTGTTTTGAAAAATTTATAGGTGCGATGAAAAGAAGTGTCGTGGTTGGCTCCCTGCAGCAAGCGAGTACGACGATTAGCCTCGAATCGCAAGCACCTCATTGACATGTTAATTTATATTTTATGGGTTTATTGGGATAGTGTTTTAACCTTTTTCGAATAAAGCTAATGGGTTGAACTGAGTTTATCCAACCTAACAAATTCTCGATTATTTGCTGCCGGAAGTGTTCTGTTTTTAAGAACGCCAAAACAGTTTACAGTTTCGTTGCCGTATCGATTCGTTTTCTTATCAAACGAGGCAGATCACCTGCGATAGTGTTTTTCTTTTTCTTCTATAAACGATTTCCGTCTTTAATAAGCAAAAATTTTACATACTCCGTTGCACCTCCCAGCACAAACCTTTCGAAAGACTCAAAAAAAGATATAGGAGTTACGGAAAACTTGTGTTGTGCAAAAATTAGTTGTGCAAAACTTTTATGCACAACTTCTTAGAAGAGAGTAGAATAGTATTGATGAATGCTTAATGAGCAATTATCATTAGATTAATTGATATTGGGTTGAAAAGTTCTTTCCGAATTTTTGGGAGTGTACCTTGAATTTTTCAAATTTTGACGTTTTATAGCTCGTTTTATAGCTAAAGCTGAATCCAAGATAGATCGATTGGTAGAAAAACCTTTTTGAGATATCTCTTTTCTAAAAGCTTTTACAGCTATTTTAGTAAAGGGCAGCATAGCCAAAAAATGGATGTTTCCACGTTTTCAAAAACGTGCTGAGGTCCCGAGATTCCATGTGATTCGCTCTACAGATGCCCATCAACCGAGCAAATCCCGTCACATCAGTATTCAGTAAGCTTAACAAGGTGCACCATTTGATTGACGTTCTAAACCGGATAAACAAGTTGGAAATCTCAAGGATTCCCTTGTTTGTCCGGTTTAAAACTGGCAATCAATTGGGCACCTCGTCTGGGTTTTCCGTGAATACTGATGTGACGGGATTTGCTCGGTTGATGGGCATCTGTAGAGCGAATCACATGGAATCTCGGGACCTCAGCGCCTAGAAATTGGAGATGAATAAAGTGTAGATGAACTTTGATTATCAACCGATTAACAGCCGGAGTTGCATTAAGTTTGATCAAGTTTATCTTAGCCTTATTGACTATCAATGAGCCGATAAAATGAAGGAATTGGCAAGGAAAAGTTGTTAAAAATCTTCCTTTTCGCAAAGGCATCCGAGACTCGAGAAGAAGCACATTCAGACTCTCGAAAAGGCACCAAAATCCACCATCAAGTTTGGGATTATTTTTTGGCATGACTAAGCACTCCTATTAGGGTGGTGCAAAAGAAACTGCCCGATGGGTATCAGCTCTCATTTATCAGAAACGAGCGATGCTAACGGCATTATTTTTTATGTTTTGTTCGCATATTTTTTAGCAAATCTTAAAATATCTCTTATACAAACTCTATAAGATCTTATACAAATAAAATAAACTCTCTTACACAAATTGCTTTTTAAATTTGCTTTAAATTTTAAATTAAAATTGCTCTAAAAACCTTGGATTTTACCTTGTAAAAAGAATAAAGTCAAAATCTACTCGTTTTTCCATTGGATTTTTTTTTGCTATTACTAAGCTAATTAAAAATTCGATTTTTAATTAATTTCAAATGTTTTTTGACGTCAGTAATGGAAAGTATAGAAAAAGACAGGTGTTATTTTAAAGCAAAATGTCTGGAATGACTTGTGATAGAAAAAAGGAAAGCTTTCTAATGAGAAAAAGGAAGAGATTATTGCATTGTCACAGATTAAAGTTTGAGTCTAGACTTTGAAATTCCCATTGTATTGGATGGAGGATTGGAGGAAAACAAATGAAAGACCTGGGGATTGTTCGGGTTTTGTTCAAGCTGAGGTTCATTTTTCGTTCGATCGAGTTACAGTCGAAAAGCCGAGTTTTCATGATTGTGCCCAAGTCTGTATAATAATAGATTGACAAGTTGAAAGTTGCCAATCTACTCATTGCACTTTTTAGAAATAATGCCAAGGGCGCCAATTAATCTACAGTTTCTACCAATAAAAAGGCCCATTTATTCTCTAAAACCGAGTTTTCATAATTGTGCGTCAGCCTATAGTATAGTAGACGTTTAAGGTAATGTGCATGGCATTTTAAAGAGAAAAACACTTGTTTAGTACTTGCTTATTCCTTTTTAATACACTTGTTTAGTAGTTTTATATTATTGAGTATATTACCTCATGAAGATGATCCATCACAAAAAGTATCCTCAAAAGGACTTTTCGTCGATGCTCGAACACCGATTCAATCCGGTCCACAAATGATATCCGGTGTGCCAGGATCCACTAAGTTTTGCACAACACAAGTTCCGGTTTTGTTCAAGTTCCGGTTTTGTTCAAGCTGGTTCATTTTTCGTTCGATTAAAGTTAGAGAAATAAAGACGACAAATTAATATGCAAATTATCTAATATAATATATTTTATTAATGCGTTTTATTTCTTTCTGAATAAAGTATTTATATAAATGATTTATCTATAAATGATTTATTTATAAATGATATAAATTCGCACCGAAAACTAACGAAAAGCCATTTTTCGAAAAAGCCAAGGCCAAACCGATTCTGAAATGAGTGGTCATAGATCTCTAGCATAGAAAAGACATCGATGGGAATGTCTTTTACGTCAAAAATGTCAATTTTAATGTGTTTCATTGTTTCATTTGAATTCGAACGATTTTAATGTTTTTCAGCTATCCTTTCAGCTTCAAGCTATCCAAGCAATGTTCTTTAAAGCTTAAACGCAAGCTTTCTGGCACATCTGCACCAAAATAATTCGTTTGACATCAAAAGGAAATGAACTTTTGTTAGAACGTGAAAATCGTGGATATCGTGGAAATTTTTACCCCAAAAAACCGGTAATTTAGTTGCCAAGATGAACCGCTGCATTGAACCGCTGAAAATCGTGTGTTCACTTCGGAAAGAATTTGGAAAAAACCCGAACGGGTCATCTGGTTTTACTCGATTTTTGACTCTATTCAATTGAAAGTCCAATTTTGAAAAGCTTTTATTGTTATTGAAAAGTTGTTTGATTCCAGTGACTTTTCAACACTTTTTGGAAAGTTTAATAATAATAATACTTTATTCACGCGAATATTCAATTCACGCGAATTCCTACTAATAGAGTACACAGATCTATTGGGTGAAATGAAAACTGCCGGCTATTGTCATATGTGACAATTTGAGCACTTTCTTCAAAAGAAACCCATTTTGGTGTCAATGGAAAAGGTGTAGAGAATCAAAAATTAGGCTTAAATCCAGATTTTCAGAATGATTCAAAAACTGGTTTTCAAGAAATGCCAAATCTACGAATTTTCACAAAACTTCCATTTTAAACGAAACTACTAAGTGTATCTTTTTGGAAATTTGGCAATAAGCCTAATTTTTGATTCTCTACAACTTTTCTTTTGACACCAAAATGGATTTCTTTTGAAGAAAGTGTGAAAACTGGACATCAGACATCTCCAGTCCTACATTTCTGAGTCTCACACTTCTCTCACACAGAAGCCAAAATCCTACTACGGAAGAGGAATCCGCAAACTGCCTGTGAAATGGGCAGAAGCCGAATGGAAATTATTTCGAATGAATTCATGGTTTTAGGTTGAATAAATTCTAGTTCAAAGTCCGGCAGTTTTCAATTCACCAACCCAATATGTCCGGTACGTAATTACGGAAATTACGTCTATTATTATTAAAAAGTTGTCTGTGATATTAACCTCAGTGCAATAAATTTATTAGAAAAAATTAAAGCTTCTTCATGCGTCGTGGTCCGTTCGAATGTTCACATTTATCGACCGTGTAGAATTGGCTGAAAGAAAAGGTTTTGAAAAGAAAAAAAGATTTGATAGAGTACCAAAATCTGGGTGGTAGACAGTTTTTCTTTATCTAACAATGAGGAGCCTTCAACTTGATTTCTTTAGCAAAATTTCAAATATTCATTTGTTGCTGTGGATTTTTCCACGTAATCTCAAGCAATCAAATGTAAATTTTCACCAGAAACGTTTATAAATAAGATGAATTGAATCAGAACAAAGCAGAAGTTATTCAATTCCGGATTTCAACGGGTCTTATTCATCTTTCAATTCAATTCAATTCCGATCTGAGTCCTTTTTTGATCCGAATTTAATAAGATCTGATCGATCCAAGTGCTTTTCTGTTTGGGTTGAGAATGCAAAACAGAACTTACACATTGCTCGAAGACTGCTGGTCAAGCGGATCTCCCAAACTCAGTTTCACTTTGCTGTAGAAAGGGCGATCATTTGGAGTCGAAACAAAATAGTAACACGCTCTTTGCTCTCCCTAAAAGAAGAAAATAAAATTTGTTTTTTCTGCTGCAGATTACTAGGATTTCTAAACTCAAATTAGATCCAAAATTAACTCATTCACCGATTCTCCGCATGTGTAGTTGACCCTGAGTTAAAATAAATCATTTATCCTTTTAACTAAAAGCTTTATGATCAAAAAACCTTTAATAAGCATGATTCAGAAAATCTGTAAAAGTGTCCTACTAAAAGTGTACTACTAAAAGTGTACTACTAAAAGTGTACTACTAAAAGTGTCCTACTAAAAGTGTACTACTAAAAGTGTACTACTAAAATTGTACTACTAAAAGCGTACTACTAAAAGCGTACTACTAAAAGCGTACTGCTAGTGTACTGCTAGTGTACTTCTGGTGTACTTCTAGTGTACTTCTAGTGTACTGCTACAGCCTTTTCCCTCATTTTTACCCGTTTCACTTCCGGATGACAGATCGCCATGTATCGATCAAAACCTAGAGCTGTTAGGATGAAAGAGGAACAGATCTAGAATCATTGTTGGAGATGGTTGCTTTCGAGTTAAAACCTTATTCGAAAGCTCTAAAAGAAAGTAGATTTTACAAGCGAGTTGCCCGAAAATCCAATTCTCTAGCACCATCACTGAAATTTGTTTGAAACAATCTCAAAAACTCATCTGCCTGATAAATGAAATGGAATTGACATTGTGACCAAAAGATCGACTCCCGACAAAACGACCATGTA